TATTTCAGAGAAGGAAAACTAAGGAAAAAAAAAAAAAAAAGCACTGTAACACATCTCACTTAGCGCACAGTGAGATCAGATTCCAAGACATCAGTCTCTGGCACTTTAAAATTACTCCAATAAGCCCCTGAGGTGCAAATTCTTAGGCTAGAAGAATATTCTATACCTGTGTCAAGTTCTTACACTCATCTGCAAGCTCTCATCAGATCTGACTCCATACAGCTATTCCTATTGTCCCATTAAGTGAGCTAAAAAAGGAATTTGTAAACAGGAACACTCATTTTAAAAGATACTCCCACTTCCTTCCCATCAAAACTTTTAAAATTATTACAGACAAAATTTTAATCTAGCAGGAACCTGGACTATTTTACATCCACTCTACAGTCTAATTAGAACATTCCCTCTACTTGTTTAATTTGAAGATGCTTCAAGGCATCACACTAACCTATCCTATCATAGACAACTTGCTTATTTTCAAATCCTTTCTCAAACATCTTATAGCACTGCCTATTGCTTCCACTCTCATGGTCACAAAGATGGTCCAAAGGTCATTTGTCTGATCCCTGGCCTCACTGACTTTTCACCACTGAAACGACCTTTTCTTTATTACAGACTGAAAAGAAACATGCACACACACACATAGAGAAATACATGTATCTACAGTTCTTAAAGAAATGGTGTATGTTATGAATGTCAGCAGTTCTATTCTTGGCAGGATGAACTACAAAGAATACATTGCCTTTGTGCACATTCTTTTTACCATTTCCTTGAAAAGCTCTTTCAAAACAGTGCAGTGAGACTCTTTACAGAGATGACCTGGTTATGACAGAAGGGCTCCTTCACAACCTCTAAAATCTTACATTTATGCACTGCCTGGAACTAACAGTCATTATGTCCAAGGAGTCTGCATAGCACTCTTTCATTTCCAGGTTTTGGTTCTACACAGAATTTATATGGAGCATATAACATTTCCAGCAAAAGCTTTTGCAAGATTTACAGAATCTTTTCCTGCTATACACATCCTAGATATTTTTAAGGCATTCTAAATACAAACCACTTCTCGTACACAATGAAGAATTGAAGCTGGATTTCACTTGCACAAAGGAAGTTCAGAAATTTAGGTCAATAGGATTGGTCCCATTTCAACATAAGTAATCAAACCTGACATCTTTGTATAGTAAACATTTCATCTAGACCCAAACCAAACAACATCACAGATGCATTGATTCAGCTGTGGGTGTTACTGTTATCACAAAATAAAAGATCTACAAAAGCTGAACTTTACAGGAGGAAAATACTCTTTCTGCACATTTAAAAAATATTTGACGCTATTTGTGGTATTTTGTTTAGTATATAAAATCATACGGACTGATCCACTTAACATCCTCTAAAGAACTGCACATAACTCTATCAAAGTGTAGCTGCATTTTGTTAATTGTTTATCTCTACAGCCATAAAATGAACTCTCAGCTTTGGAGGTGTACCAAAAAGCATTAAAAGAGCATTACACTCTGTCCAAAAAGCCCCCTCTTCTTCCAGAAATTATGTGGCAATCTTTCATGCATTCAAGTCACTTATTTTTACATAGTAAGACACTGTATCGGTTTCCAAGATACAGCAGAGCTAATTTCCAATTCCTGTCAGCTACATCTCCAACAGATCAAAACCTAACAAGCCCAACACTTCAAACAACGTTATCCCATTATATACTTGAAAAAATTTTGTCTACAGAATTTTATGAAAAATTTCTAAATTTGTCATCATCACAGATTAGCAAAGATTGATATAATCACAAAATCACTGTGGGTCAGAGCCATTGCTCCAGTGCCACTTCCTCCCCTGTGCAGTCTACCCGAGAACCAGCAGCTGGCACAGTACAATCAAGTGCAAAGACTGCACTAGTTATAGTTTAACTGGATGAGAAAAAAATAATCCTTTAGTCAGCAAGGACAAGAGAATTGTTGAAGAGGAGTTCTAACCTGTTGTATACCTTGGAATTTGAAAGCTCACTTTTTTTGCTCCTTTGGAATGCTGTATTGTTTTTCTTTATTATTTTTCTTTCCACTTGGCTGGAGATAAAATTGCTCAGAAATCACAAGGAATCTATTCCCCAAGACTCACCATTCATTTGGCATTTTGGCTGTCCTACAGAACACTATCATCAACCCTTTTCATTCCAATACAGGCTCCCTCTTTTTCTAGACCATTTTGCTGAAATGTGCAACATAAACCCATCAGACCATAGGTCACTAGGGTTAAACAGTGAATAGTGATACAGTTTCTCTTCTTAATATAGGATTATTAGGAACACATCAGGTTTATACCAGCTTTTTATGTGACCTAACACCTGAGTATCAGGCCAAGTTCATATGTGGTCTTTGCCTTCGAGTTGCTCAAAACCCTAAAATTCCAACAATAAGAAACTAAGGGAAAGGAACTCTGCCCAATGCCATAGTAGCTGTAGAGCTACTGAGGACTGTGGGGGGAGACAGCTTTCTCACAGCTTTACTTTCTGTTAGAATGACACTTCAGACTCCTGATTCGTGTGTCAGGTGTGTTTCTTTCACATGCCTTCTCAATTAGCATAGATCAGCAAGCACATTTAGAGCAAAATTGTGGTAAGGCCATGCACTTTATCTCCTAAGGGCTACGAAAATTATAGAGCATGAACAGCATGTGGCAGGCAAATTACTCAGTATGTTGACTAAAAAGACAGAAATGGTGCAGGCACAGAAACAAGGATTAATTAGATGCATCTAATTAATATGTTTCCTGCTAGCTAAAGTGGCAGAGAACACTCCAGAAAAGAAGGGAAATGTGTAAATTTGCCAAACTAAGTAAGAGCTTCAACCAAAAAGACTTGTTTGCTAGATTTCACAGCAAAGACACTGCTGCAAATCCTTTCTGCTTGTCCTCTCAATAAGCAAAGCTTGTCAATCGTTATTGACACATCCCTTGGAACAAGACCTCCAACTCAGAAGAGGAGACCCAGCTCCCAGTTCAACTGCTCAGCAGAGAGCTTCCTACTACCAAGTAATTTTTAAATACCATGACACTGTTGTAGTCCATTAGAACAGCAATTAGTACATCTTTAGTAATTAACAGATTTGTCACTAAGCCCTCGCCACCTGCCAACCCAATTCTGCTGGGGAGCCAAATCCATGAGTGCAAGTGCACAGGTGGCATCAGCAGCACTGTGACACCTTTCTCTCCCACTACCACATCTTTCTACTCCTGGCAGTCCTCTCATTCCTCCAGGACCAGTGAACAAAGCAGAGGAGCCACCAGCCAGCAGGGAGGAGGAATGGGGATGCCATGCAGCCATGGATAAACAGCCTGGCAGCAGAGGCACAGCAGGCACTGTGCCAACACGACAGACAGCTTCCAGACTTAATCACTCTGGTATCACCCTAGTACTGTGTACTTTTGCAAACGGGATATTCCATCTTATCAGTGTTGTTTCCAACACTGTGAGAAAGCTTAGCTGCACCTCAAAGCAAAAGATGTGAGATTGACCACATCCACACATCCCTCTGACAATGCCTCAACTGGCCTCGTCAGGCACTTGGCTCAGTGGAGTTCTGAACTACTACAACCTTCTTCACAACAGCTGTGGCATTTGCCAAGGGACAGAAATAAGGGCTTTTCCCTCTTTTTATTTTTAGAGAGCGGGAGAAGAAGGCAGGAGACAGATGACTCACTAAGGCTTTGAGCACTGAAGGAAAAAAGAATTTCACTGTGAGTTCTTCCCACAACAGCTTCCCGCAAATACAGTAATTTCCTCTATGTGGCTAGAGAATAGTTTGGCTATCCAACTCCGTTCTCCTCTTCATGTTCTTAAACATGATTCCTCTTTCTCTTCCAAATTTACCATCCTCCCCCACTGCACAGTCACACCGCAAGTATTTATCTAGCACAATCCCAGATCCCAGCAGTCTGCCATGCTTAATTTACTCCTGAGTAAGAGTACCCACACAAGCTGACGGATGGTGGGAGTGGAACACATTTGTGCCAGACTATGCATCATCTTATTATTTGTTTGGGCTCTCTTAAACCCAGGATGACAACCCTGTTTTCTATAACCTAATTTTTTTTCAAGGTCATTTTCTTCTTCCAGCTTTTTAGGAGGAAGAAAACTACTAATCTTATAGCAAGACTTGTGTGCCCCTCCTGCAATGGGTGTTTTTTCTTCTCAGAAAAGCCTTTCTGGTTAACATTCTGATGAGTCCTAATGCAAGGCTCCTGTTACATACTGAAGGTAAGGATTCTTTCCTAGACACCAAACAGAGATTGCAGAGGACTGATTGTCCCCTGCTCCTGTATATTGGTACACCCACTTTGACAGCAGAAATTGTATTTCCCCACACAACATATAAAAAAGTCTGTATAAACAAATCCCACTTTACTCATTTAAAATGCACAGTGCTTTGGAAACATGCCTACCTGGCACCACAGTGGAGTCTGATTAACTGACTGAAAAATTACTGTGGAAAGCTTGAATGTTTAAACCCAACTGATTAAAGGCAATTAACAGCTGCAGATGTTCAGCAGCTGTGCAAGTCAGGTCACTTTTTCACCCAAACATAGTTCAAAGTACCTTATTTTGATTAGTCAAGTTTACAGATCAGTTTTGAATTAGCTAATTATAAGTTTTTCATCTGCCAGTAGGACCTGTAGGCTCATAGTCCATGTTTCTTTGTGCTAAATTTCTCTTTACATCATTAACAGAAAAAAAATAAAAAAAAGAAGGTAAATCTTTCCAGGCATAGGTACAAAACAGAACAGAAAGAAAGATGGGGAGCTCTTACTTGAGTTTAGGTGTAGTTTTATCACTATAAGGAATACCAGAAGCTGACTTCAGTACACATGCTTGGTGAAAACAGTGTGACTACAGGTCTGTGTAAAAGGTTTAGGAGACATTACACTCCAAGTAATGCAAACCCAGAGTTCAGCCATAGCACAGCACTCTGAGATAAGAGATGTTCCACTTGAGGAAATACCTGTCCTGCAGTCCTCACGCATTGAAGTGAAGTTTCTTCAGAGCTCCAGCTTGGTCTAGGAGAAATAAACAATTATGTGATATGTTGTAATAGAATTACTGTTAAGCAACATCAAGGTAATGATTTACTCTTTTTAGTAGTGTTGTCACAAGATTAGAGACTAGTAATTTAAGCCCGTGCTACTTGGTTGCAGGAACTAGCTCTGAAGGGTAAATATGGTCTGCTTTGAACACCAACCTCAGCACTTGGTCGCACGCAACTTCTGATGAAGTTAAGGGGAACTAGGTAGAGTTTGAGGTGGAATTTAAACCAAAGATTTTAATTTTATAGTAGAGTTTGAACAAGTTTTTACAAATACACCTATAGAGAGATTGTCAGTCACCCAAGCTGAGGTTAGAAGTGAGGCAAGTCTTGTAGAATCATGTAAGAGCTAATAAAATATGAGATGAAGGACCATTTCAAAGAGATTTTGACTTGCAATAAGATTAACATGAAGATATTGAAAGAAACCACAAATAAAAATCTAACTGCTAAAACTTAAAATTTTTAAAAACTGCTGTTCCAGAATCATGATTAATGTCTGCCACTACAGTAGCTTAATTTAAAATTAGAACAAGGAAACAAAGCTTCCTACAAAACCACTATTTTTCTGTCTTACAAGACATTTCACAGACAAGACCCAGGTATAAACAATACTCTACATCACCTCTCTTCTTCCTTTTTCATTACTAAGCCATTATTACATGAAAAATGAAAATTAGTAAAACATGTTTTTACACTTATTAAAATCTGTTTCAGGATCTGAGATGCTGCCCTGAAGTGCTGCATTAGTAAAGAAAAAGTCATCTCACTGATTTCAGCAGAGAAAAGGTCTGCTGGAGAGTAGGAAGCTTATTTGTCTGGAGAAGAACTGAACATGGAAATGGGAACTGACATGTTAACTAAGATTTCCCTTCTCCAAGGGTTCCTGTTTTTCACTTTGCATATTTTTAAATGAAAAACTCAATGATAATAAAAGATGAAGCTGTCATTTCAGTTGAAGAGCATTTAGAATTAAGTTTTGGTTTTGTTTTTGTTTAACAATTAATTATTAAATTGCACAACACAGGTTCATGGTTCACCTAAATAGGTATGCTGCCAGCTAAACTAGACCTGACCTTATTCCCATCTGTTACAGCAGAATTATACCAAAAGATGTAGTTCAGCTGGCTAACCTGAACAGTGAGAAAGTATATTTACACTGAGTTACAATGCAGTTCAATGCACTGAAGTCTAATCTAAATTCACATTCTTGTCCTTTAAGAGAGAGCACCCATTCAAGCAGACTCTATTTCCACCACCCAGTACGTTTTTGTTTCATTTTCTTGACCATACAAGTACAAACCTTAGGGATACTAAATTCTCCTACTTCCTTCTACAATTTGCTCTCCTCTTGTTTACTTGGCTACACTTCAAAATGAGAAATCTTTTGCCTTTAGTCATGTCTGTTATGCACAAATCACCTTTCATGATGAGTCTTGCAGCACACTTCCCCATCCTCTCTTTTGTCAACACTTGAACAAAGAAAGATCTCTGAGCTAACAACAGTTCCAGACATGCACATGGGTGCCACTGCCTCCCAGTCCTTTCTTTCCAAGCACTGCCAGAAGCAAGAATGAGGATCATTCCAACTCCAAATACAAGTTGTTTTCCTACAGCAAGCTGGGAGTAATCACTTCACTGGAACTTGGTAACCAGTCTTAAACCAGGTGCTGCGAAATGACAAATCAGTTAAGACAGGAGATGAATCTGAACATAGAATACTAACAGCCAACTCTCAGAACAGCATATTTAAGTAAATTTTTGGTGTACACATTACTGCTTCTCCTCTGCTTCTTTTTAAGGCCCTAGCTATTATGATGAGGGATTTTAGTTTCTGTTTTTTTTAAAAGTGCATGCTACACTTCCTATTAGAGGAAAGGCTTAAATAGACAGTACAGGCACATCGGAGGAAAAAGAATAATAAATGCTTGCTTAAAATACAGGCATTGTCTTCTTCCTAGGGACTCATTAATGACCTTTGCATATTTGTACAGTGCTTCTGCCAGCAACAACAGAAATTCTAACATTTTAGGGGTTTTGTACTCCCCAGAAGAGGTTAAATAGTACTCAGCATAGCTACCAGATTTTTAAAAAATGAAGACTGATATTTCACTTAGTTTTTGCTCCCATATGAGCTCCAATAGAAATTCCATTTTCTTATTTAGAGGAAAACATCTGGCTTGAAGGATTTCTTGTTTGAAGAGTCCTTACTAGTGAGTTTGTGATTAAAGGCATAAATCTGACTTTCGCCTAGCACTCATTTATTTAGCAAAGCTGAAGGGATAATAAAATAAGAGTCTTGGTTAAACATGTTCAATAATTTTCCTATTTGGGGATTGCAATATAGTCTCTGCACTGAAACAATCAAGAATATCAAAGAAGAGTTTTACATGAGTCCTTTGTGCAGGCACAAGATATTGTACAAATTAACAAAGTTTAGTTGCAATGTCTGCTACATCATGGAGCACTCTCGTTTTCATGAAGTGATCTTGAATGTATGTGTAGGTGTTAATTTTTCTAAATGCTTAATAAGAGAGTGAAAGTATCTGCAGGCACCTAAATCCACTTTGAGTAATGAGGAATAATCAGGAATTAACAAAGTCCTTAAGTGCTTACACATTACCACTATAGTAGCACTACCTACATAAATCAGTAAGTCAAAATATAAAGAAAAGAACCCCAAATTCATGTATTCCTGCCCCAAGATACCCAAGAAAGTGGTTTACCATGACCAACAAATTCTGTGTTTTTCTAAGTTACAGCAGAGTGGTAGAGCAAAGTTTAACTAAGAGCAAAGTGTTTATCTTTCAAAAGTGTAAGGATATAAAGCCAGTTTGAATTGGGAAGCTTCTTCTTTGTGAAATTAACACTAGAAGAGCTGGGCTGGAATTAGAGACATATGCATTTTCTAGAAGAGAGAGCAGATCTAATGATTCAAATGTACCTACTGTTCCATCAGGTTGGAAGTGATTCTGATCATATATGATTAATGATGTACAGTGTGCCAGTTGATGGTACAGCTTAGCATAAAGAAAATAAAAATCCAGAAAGCTTTAACCATAACCAGCTGAACAGTGAGAATTTTCAGATGTTAAGAGGATGAAAACAAGCACTCCCTGGACTACTTGAAGTTTTACCTGTGGCTTTTCCAGGAAAAAAAAAATATTGTAAGGAAGCAAAGGTGTACTCTCCCTACCTCAGGGCAACTACAGATATGAAAATTAATCCAGCAACAAAATCCAGCAAGCAGCTATTCCCAAATTTAGCCACACTAATTTATTTCACACCATCTCTCTAGCTCAGTTCTTTACAGTTCTTTTAAGGAGACAGATCCAAAATGTCCACTTTCCATGAAGTTAAGATTTGTCAGAAGTACTTTAGAAAGAGTGTAATTTGTACTAGCTACACATTAGGTGTTCCTGAATTAGCCTGGTTTAACCAGCCCATGACTACAGCAAAAAGCCACAAGAGGAATCTTCTCAATAGGCACGCAAGCTGTTCCCTTCTCTGCTCCTAAAATCAGTCTGCAGGAGCTGAAGCCATAAGTATTGCCCAGGATTGATTTCTGGGTGATTGTAATTCTTTCTTGTGCTGTACATCATCCTGAGGTACCTTTCTGCCAAAGATATTCAGATATGCATAACTACTGCAATAAAGCCACCTTGGAAGAGATAAGAACTCTGTCATTATAGGAAATGAGCTGGCACACAAACAGAATAAATAGATTATTTCAGTTATGCTGGTATGCTGCAATAGGGGGAGAAAAACATTTAGGTTTGTTTCCATAGGAATTCATGTCCCTGCATTCTCCCATAACTATTGCCTTGCTCGAAATTAATCCCTTATCTCGAGAAAAATTGTTTTCAAAGTACTGCATGTGTGAGATTAAATGTAGACTCGTCAATTCCCTTTCTTTGTAAGGAAAAATTAAGAAATTCAACATAGAAGTGTATGGACAGGAGACAAGATTGAAAAAAAAATTCAAACAGATCATGGAGAAATACTGCAGGCACTATATTGCTTTTAAAAAGCACAGTGCAGAGAAATTCTGCTATGTACTCCAGGCCAGTCATCTGAAGCAAGCAAACCAGAGATACATATGCTTGTAATATAAACCACGATAAATAATTCCTAAAGTTAACAACCATACCCAGAGCAGTTATGCTGATCAAAACTTCAGGGTCTTCAATTCTCCCCTCAACATACCACAAAAGGCATAACTCATATAGTCATTCCAGCATAAAGCAAGCAGTGTTGATAGGAGGAGAGGGGTGTTGATTAACAAGACTTAGCAATGGCTCATAAATTTTGGAGGAACAGACAGTGACATATGTACACGTGATAACTGTAAGAAATACACATTTCCTTTAGTACTGTATTTACAGAAATGTGTCAGCCTCAGATTACCTTTGAGGCTGCATTAAATCTCCCTGATTCCTACACTCTCAAACTCCCTTCCCAACACTGTTCCACAACAGTACAGTACACTGTTCCAAGGCAATTGTGAAAACATGTTATGAGGAAATGCCTTCATGGAGTAAATTTACCTTAGAAAAAAGGCCAGAAGAATGCTTAGCTACACAAGAGGGGAATAAACATCAATGAGGTTCTTCACTCCCTTCCATCAAAAAATCCCTATTAGAAGACAAAACACACCATGGAAGAATCATTATATCAACTAATATTTTTAAATCTAAACAAAACCAATTTATCCGTGCTGCTGCCTGGAAGCTGTCAGGAGTCCTCACCATTCCTTACAGAGCTATTAATTAATGCTCCTGCGAGTCTGAGCTTCTCTGAACATTCCTGCAAGGTCCAGTACAAGTATAAGCAAGCCAAGAGTCTGATCCTTCAGTAACACAATCTAAAAGTTGACAAATAGTAAAGTTACTTACATCTGCAAGTACTTTTAAGATCAGGGCTTAAGCCAGAAACAATTAACGGACACAATGCTTGCACAATGCAAGCTTATGAAGCTGTTGGATAGTCTGACAAAAGTATAAGGTACTCATTGTCTAACATCCCATGCCAAACAGGCAGGAAGATGCACCCATGCTAAACACACAGGTTGTCAGGTTAAACACACACCTCTCTATTCCTGCAGTCTTGTAATGCAGAGCAATAAATGCACCAATGACCCAAGGGCTGTGGGGCAAAGAGTAACACTGCAGCCACCAGGTTTGAGTGTCAGAGGCATTTTTCCTGCAGGTAAAATGACAAATAGGTATGTGCCTTTTGGTCACCCATGTCTGTGTTTTGGTGCCGTAAAGAAGAAGTTAATGCTTCTTAAGGCATTTCCATTTCTACTTAGCACTTCATTACCGAAGTGGCTGCCATGTCTGATTTTCTATCAAAGGAGACTGCTTCACACCTATTTTAAAAATTGCACAAGAAGACTGTTCATGCCCCCTATTTTGTATTTTTTTGTAGGCAAGCTAAATTTTTTAGCAACAATATTAACTTGGAAATCTGGCCTTCGAAGTATGAGGGGTTCATCTGCCTGCAAGAGTTTACAGATTCAGCTGGTCAGATTGGCCTCAAACACAGCAATTCTCACTCAGCTCTGCCTGAGGTTTCTGCAGGAACTTACCTTGGTGTGTTCTTTATTACTGCTTTGATAACTACAAACTCTTTAACCCTTTCCAGAACTGTCATGTCTACATCTCCCTCCTTTATAACATTTTTCTAAAAAGATCTTTATTTTCTGGACCTTTCAGCATGAAGCTGTCATACTTTGTGGAAAAGTTTATGGAAAGCTGAGAGATTTTAAAACAAGAAAATTACAAACAGGAAGCAGTATTTAACCCACCACTATGCTGACCCAGTACTGACTCCTCATTAATGGAATATTGGCAAGGGGTATTTGTTCATCAGCTCTCCTGCAACAGCAAGATGTCTGTAAAATACTGCAACAGGAAGGGAAAGAAATGTGTTATGCCTAGAAGAAAAAAAGCAAGTTAATTCTGCTTTTGTCTAAAGCGTGAAAGAGGTGCATGAAGGAAACAAACAACAGAGCCTTCAACCCTATATTTCCTGTACGGATTCAAGCAAAAATAAACAGAAGAGGTGTATAATTATTCAGATCTAAATTTAATTCATAAACTGTGACACGCTAACCCTTAGAGCAGAGAAAAAGTGGAAAATTGCTTCTTGTAGTAAGAAACATACCAGCTTAATGCAACTAATTTCCAAGAGGAAACTTCAATGTGCAGCCAGACCAAGCACAGATCAGCAGGAGACTGTGACATGCAGTCAGGAACTACTGCACCTGTAATGATGAATTTAGACACAGCACGAGGCTGGTTCAGTCCTACTACTGAGCTGTATTTTGTCAGCATCAAGACTCCAGAAACTGGTCTTAGCAGACAGGCCTTCCCTGTAGGAGGGGAAATATTTATCCACTATCCCAATTCACTTGGGATAGCAGTATCCAGTTGGCACTGGGGATAAAAGCTGACAATTAAATAAGCACATACCAGCTGTCCTCACTCTCTGCTGCTCCCAGAGGCAGAGCACTTACACCTGCAGATGGACATGAACTCCATACCCAGACTGAAGTGACAGACGCAACCCAAGTAAAGAGGGGGCATCCAAGATAAAGTAGACAGTAACGTTAAAGAAAATGCTGCACAATGCATTTGTACCCTATGTTTCAAGTCTAAAAAGTCTTGCCTCATCCTTTAATATATATATATTACCACTAGAAACATGCTACGAAATTAATCCTGACGCTCCAAACTCAACACCGAAGCCACAGCTCAACACAAGTGGGCAATACAGCGCTTTGATTCTTCTCTCTCCAAAGGAAAGCAACTACACCCTTTTTCTGCCCCCAGAGGAGCCTTTCCCTTCCCCACGGGCGGACCCACAGGGATGACTTTACTCCATCCCACCTCCCCCCTGCAGGTGAGCAAAGCGGCACCGAACTGAAGGCGTCAACCCACGGAGCAGAATACACGAGGTGTCTCCCCGCTGATTCCCCCAGAGCCGCGGGAACCGCGGCTTCCCCAGGGAGCCCGGGCGGCCGCTCGGGGGGCCGCCAGCCCCGCGGCTTTCCCCGCCCGGCACTGGGGCTCTGCGAGGGCGGCCCGGCGCTTCCCGAGGCTCCGGGGGCTCACCTGAGGAGCTTCCCGGCGCCCTCCGGCAGCGCCGCGGCGGGAAGAGGGCCGGGAGCCGCGGGCACGGGGGGAGCCGCGGGCACGGGGGGAGCCCCTCCCGGCCCCGCCGGGACAGGAGCTCGGCTCAGCTCCGCCGCGGCTCGGCTCAGCTCCGCCGCAGCCCGGCTCAGCTCCGCGGGCAGCCGCCGCCGCCGCCACAGCGGCCGCTCATCCCCGCGCGGCCAGTGCGCCCCGCGCCCGCCCCTTCCTTCACCTGAGGGGCCGGCCCGGCTCCGCTCCCGCCTCCCGCTCCCGCCCCGCCGGCACCGCCCGTGGGAGCCGCCCGCGGCCGGGGAGCGCCGCCCCTCCCGGGGCTGCCGGAAGGGCCGCCGGGCTCTGAGGGGTCCGGCCCCAGCCCCGACACCGCTCGGCTCGGCCAGGGCTGCGTGTGCTGAGCGGCCGCGGCTGGGTCTGCCCGCACCTGGCGCAGCATCACTGGGTCCAGATCGTCCAGTCAAACCTATGGCCGAGCGCCACCGCGTCAACCAGACCCTGGCACTGGGTGCCGCGTAGTCCTCCCGTACACACCTCCGAGAGCGTGACTCCACCACCTCCAGAAGCTGCAGCCCCAGAGGACGTGGCCTGGGGAGCGGCTTTGTTCTGACTGGCAGCAGGGTCTGACACAGGTGCTTGCCTGGAAGTCACCAGGGGCGGGGAGAAAGGAGGTTGTAGCATAGCTACGAACGGTGACATTCCTTTGCGAGTGTCCTGTGTCCATCGGGAACCCCATGCAGGCACGTCCCATGTGTCCTGTATCCATAGGAAGCCCCACGCAGGCCGTGTCCGTGTGTCCGTACCTGCCAAGGGCCGCCCAGCCGTGCTGGCTCCAGGCTGGCAGCACACAGAGCTCTCCTTGTCTCTGCTCTCAGCTCACATTTTATCCACGTCTTCCCCACATCCATGCCAGTTAGACCTTTATCCACGTCTTCCCCACATCCATGCCAGTTAGACCCCATTGCCCTGCAGCCTACCCGTCCTGCCAAAAGATGTTCCGCAGTTGGCAAGGTGTTTTAAGTTTTCTAAAAGGTAACATTTAAAATGTGATAAGATGCAGTTTGCTTTGTTCTCACATGTTAAATGTTAATTTAAGATATACTTCTATTTCACTCAAGATTTTAAATTTTATTGGGCTTTTGTTTGTTTTTCCATTTGCCTGTACCGCTCCCAGAGGTTTGGGAGCAGTATGGAAGGTGTTGTAAAAAACTAAGCATTTGGGGATTGTTTTTTAAATTTTATGTGGTTTTTAGTCACAAAATTTAAAACTATTTAGTGTCAGGGGAAGTTTATGTTAAATATTAGATAAAGGATCTTCACCCAGGGTGTGGTTGGGCAGTGGAAGAGGCTCCCCAGAGAAGTGGCCACAGCCCCAAGCCTGACAGAGTTCAAGAAGCATTTGAACAATGCTCTTGGACCCATGGTGTGACCTGTGGGGATGGTCCTGTGCAGGGCCAGGAGCTGGACTCAATGATTCTTGTGGGTCCCTTCCAACTCAGCTTATTCTGTGGCATGAGCAGAGGTGTGAAAAATCAAAATTACATTTAAAAGTATGCAAAAGCAAAATAAGAAAAAATATGGAAAACCTGTTTTAAAATGTTCAGCAACTTAAAATGTGTTTTTTGGCTTGTAAAAATTATTATTATTTTGTAAAAATTATTACTATTAAATAATTACTATTCTGAAAGGTACAAAGTGATCAGTTTTAATTCCATTTACTTTTGTAACAAGAATGTAACTGAAAAGAGAACGCTGAATAAAGCAGTATTACTTAAAACATTGATCTGTGTATTATACTGAGGCTTATTTGACTAAAAAGCAGCAGATTTCTTTAGTGATTACACAGCTTATACTTCAACTAGTTTTAAAGATTTTGACCTTTATGGTGGTACCAGAGTAGTTTCTGTGGTCAGAAAAAAAGGTGGTGGTGCAATATTTCCTGTCAATGCTATTTATTAGTATTTCTCTTTGTCATTCACAGAACTTTGTAGTATGAAGTAGCAAAGAGAATCCCTCTTCTGAATACAACAGAGAGGGGGTCTTGTACTGTGAAATGAAAATTCCCATGTTTAAAGTACAACAGAGACTGATTAATGCTGGAAATGGGGTTTGGTGATGACCTTTGATTTGTAACATAAACACGGTGCTGCTAACACCTGCTGTTGGATGTGAAGGAGCCTCTATGTAAACAGAAAGATCATTTCTGAGTATGAAGAAGGCATTGCACTGGCAGAGCCTAGGGAAAATGAAGTTTCTTAAGCTCTCATGCAGTTGCAGCCAACAGCAGCCTCAGGTTTCTGTGGCACAAAGACTGAGAGCTGTGCACAGCCGTGGGCAGGCTGGGTAACACAGGTCCCATAGGAAGACCACAACCAGGAAAGTTGTTTGAATGTAGTTCTTCCACTGAATTTGGAGTGAGTGTGTGAGTACTCTGTCAGAACATCCTGACTGTTGGTGGAAATTATAGCATTTATTTTCCTGCCTGACTAAACCCAGAACTTTCTGTCTCCAGAGAAGGCAGATTAGTGCATTAAGCTGAAGCAGGTGTGGGGAACCTTCACTTTGTTGGCTGAATATGCCCTGTGATTTCATTTTATAGGGTACAGCCCGTGATTCAAATGACTCTGTGTGTTATTACTGGATAGCAGAGCGTGTTAGCGAGTGCGCTGCCAAACGTGTTGGAAAGGCACACTTGGTCCTCCTCAAGGAAAATATTCCCCACCCACAAACCAAAACCTAACCCTGATACAAACTGTATTACAGGGTAACAGGCCCTTTTCCATCTCTCTTCTGAGTTGAATTTTGCTTCTAAAAATGCTAAGTTTTCTGTGTGACCTAATTTGCATGCAGTAATCCAGCTGGGAGAACTTGGAGGCTTGCTCCTTCCTCCTGGAAAAGCTGTGTCCAGCACTTTTTAGGATCATATTTGTGTAACGTCAAGAAATCATAGTTATTTTATAAGTTTGCTCTTTCTCAATTGTTTCAAACTAATAAACTTATTACTTGAATATGAAGCTTTTATCAGTTCACACAATACATACTCTTGAAATTATGGAACCATAGAATATCCTGAGTTGGAAGGGACCCAGACAAGAATCATGGAGTCCAACTCCTGGGTCTACACAGGAATATCCCAAAAATCACATCATGTACTTGAGAGCATTGTAGGAAAGCTTCTTAAACTCTGGCAGGTTTGGTGGTATTGAAGCCATCCAATTATTTTGAATTACAATAATCTGCTGTTGTGAGGAAACATTCCAACCTAATTTTATCAGTAAATATAATCTATAATGCTCTTATTGAAAAGAATTGTCAGGTTAGCCTGACATGGTCTACTACTGGGGAAAAAATCTGGTTTATCTCATTTATCTCTACATGTTCATAGTCTTTTTTTCTTCAAATTTGAATATAGCAAATCAGATTGAAGGGACTGTAGTTCTGATACTGCTTTCACCTCTGTTCTTCCAGAATACAGAATTTGCATAACCCCCATTATGAAAAATAGGATGTAATTTTTAGCTACTAGACTCCAAATCTAACAGACTTATGAAAATACTTATTTGTGAGTTCATTACCCAGCTCACCTAGAATTCTGAGAAAGACACTGTCCCTCAATGCCTTGTGGCTCTGCTTCCTCCTTCCTGGTTCTCTTTTTTTTTTTTTTAACACGCTTGCAAAGCCTTTGTTTATTTGTTATAATTGCCTCCCCATGTCTAATTTAGCTGACACTTGGCAGGTCTCACTTCCTGCCCTTGAGACACAGTTTGCCTGTGGCCATCAGTCTTTTTGTTTCTTGCACAATCTCTGCTTATACCTGATTTCCCCCTTGTGATGGCTCACTGCACACTTTGAGCTCCAGCTGCTCCAGGAAAGTTTCTTTCCTTACTTTTTTTTTCAGTCATGTGGCACAAGGAGTCACAAGGAGCCCAGTGTAAGCTGTCTGCACCAAATCAGCACTATCCAAAGTGCCAACCTGGGGTGGGAATAAGAATAGGGTGCTTGGGGATTTTTGTTTTGGTTATTTGTATTCTGCCAATTACCCTACAAAAAAAAAAAAAAAAAAAAAAAAAAGAAGGCACAAAAACATGCTCAGTCTCAAGGAATGAAAGTATTTGTGTCAGATTTCAGATACTTGTACTGTGCTTGAAAAGCATCAGAGAATGATACAACTACAGAAATGCAGAAGTGACAGATTAAAAACTGGAGTCCTGACTGTGGGATTCTGGACTGGGTTACCTGTTTAGATATACAGCACACCTAAGCCTTTAAATATGCTCAAGCATTTCTCATTCTGTTGTTTACCCCAGGATTGTGCTCATTTTGGATGATTACTTGCTGCTCTTTCTTTTAGCTGCTTCCCCATGGGAATGCAGACAAGTCTGGCTCCAGAGACACTATCAAGGGGCCCTAATGGGGCCTCTCAGAACAGAGCAGTACACATCAATAATGGCATGCTTCTTCCTTGCTCCAAGAGGTAAAGGATTCTGATCTTCTCCTCAACAGGCATACATTAAAATGACAATATATTTAGGTACAAAGAGGGTACTTTTCTTTGTTTGTTCACTAGAATTGCCAGAGAAACTTGAAAAGCATTTAAATTCCAAAGATAAAGAGACGTGAAAAAGAGCAAATGTTTTCATTAGCAATACTCTGTTGTGTTTATAGGACTTTTACCAAAACTTTGGTAGAAATACAACTTCCTTCTTGGCTTTTTTTGTTGTTGTTTTTTAATGCTGACAAATACTGCAATTAATTTGTTACATAACCAATTCCAGGGCCCTGTAGAGACAGAACAATCCATTATGGATGGAGGAAGCATGCCAGAAAAAGCAAGGCTTCGTGAAGGCATTTTGCCTATTTCTGTCACACTTTCTGGCTGAAGCCTTAAGGAAATAAACTCACTAATACTT